GTTTAATACTGAAGAGTGATTCTTAATATTAAACTCTAATACTACTCTTGTAATGGAATCATGAATTTTATTGGCAAAACCAAGGACATACTGCATACTTACTTTGAAAGCTAATGTTATAAAATTACTGGAGCTACTACATTATCTCACTATGCAGTCAATGCACCCAACCAATAAAACTAATAAAATAAACCCCATACTAGCAGGGGAAAATTGAGACCTCACTCAACTTTTACATCTCTATCACCAACCTAACAACCTCCTACACAATTTGGTACCTTGCACAAATTCTAAACCGCATACAAACTAAAGCCCAAATAAGACTAGCCGACCTGCTTTTACAAATGCACCCTTTTAGGAATGGTGGTAGGGCCAGGAATTACTTCCACTTTCCCCTTAAACAATTTTCATTGATTAAGAAGCGTATCTCTCTGTGAAGGCACAGATGTGAACACAATAGCAAAATCCTCAGCGAAATCAATGCATCCAACCAGGCATAAAACACTGAAATTGAGGGAAATAGTGAAGAGAAGATTTGGCTTGGCACCCTAACCCAAATGGGTTGTCATCATTCAATTCCCAACCCTCACTTTTGGGGGTATCACTTATCCACTGACCCATCTCTTACAGAATCTCTGTTTTTCTTCTCGGAAAGCATTCTGGCAGTTTCTAGAGTATTGCAGGACTTTTGGGACGAGATCTAGGATCCACTACGAGTAACCTGTGGATAGGTTCTTGAGTAAGGGCAGGTTTAGGTAAAAAAGTAAATATATACAGAAGGTGGTGAAAGATGGCAAGGATTCAGGCGAGGTCTATTTGTAAAGGAGATGAAGGAAAGGAAAGAGGAAATAACCCTAATACATACACTCAGGTTTCTTTCCCCATATCAGTTATTAAGTTTTAAAACTGCAGGTTAAAAAGGTTAAAGATATATGTGCTCCAAAGTCCCTTGAATTTTAAAAACATGCACTAAAATAAATGAAACTTGATGAATTTTAAGTTATTACAGCTATTTATAACAGCCAGTGTTGCACTATTAAGTATTAAAAGAATCGGCTCTGAGAACATTAGATGATTAAAAAAATTTAAAAAAAAATAAAAAACAAAAACAAAACAAAACAAAACAAAAACCCTTCCAAAGCCTATGGGCTTGATTCTGCTGCCATTCCTATTAAAAGCCTTGAGAACACAAACATGAATTACTGTTGTGCTGAGTGTTAGTGGCAGCAAAGGGGGATTGAAAATTGTTTGAAACTCAAGTAAAAAGGAACAACAGGGGAAAAAAAAACTTACAGTGGGTAAAATATTTGAGTCAAAGTCTGAAGCACATATTAATGAGAAGCAGAATCATGGGAAAGAAGGCTCCAGGGTACCTAAATATATATATATATATATATATATATATATATAGATACTAAACATTGATAACTAACTGCCATAGATAGGAGGCTCAAGTGCTATCAGCAGAATTTAGATAGTGAGAATTTTTCTAGGCTCCTAACCTGTAAAAAGATCGATGAAATGTTGGCTTCCAGTCCATTACCAGTGCTGATCCAAGTACCATTTGAAAATGGTCTTCTCACTGGTGCCACCCCAAATTTGGAACACCAATGCACTGCCTCTGCTGACACCAATGCACTGCCTTTTCTAGTGGCAAACTGAAATATTTTTCTACGCACAGAGCTTTTGAAGTAATTCTTGAATCCCACTCTATGTTTACAATTCAACGTATTGTCAAGATTGTCAGGCATAGGAATGTTTTGTGAGTTGACACTTTATTTTATTGTATCTATTTTTTTTCTGATCTAAAACTTTCGGATGAAGTTATGGTACACGAATTCCCAAAACACCTATAGAATCCAAGACAGAATTTACAGAGGTGAAGCTGAAAACATGCAAAAGAACTGCAGATTGTCAGCTCTTGTAGAGAGAAGCAAGTAAAAATGGAATCTACACTACCTGCAGGATTAAGGAGTAATTTATAAAAATTAGATTCCCAATGAAATCACAATTTGTTCAAAGAAAATCATCTCGACCAGCTATGACAACAATGCATTTTTTCCAGCCCAAATGTAGGTGAGGAAACTTTGACCATACTAGAGTTACAGAAGCAATAAGTAAGAACTGTGGCAGGATCAACTTCCTTCAAAGTTTTGCTTCAGATTATTTTTTTTTTTTTTTTTGGTATTCCTCTTAGGGAAGTATATTTTAAATAAAAAAATGTTTTATCTCCTTCAGTATTTTAATGAGATTCCTTCCTGTTGCCACTTATGGGTTAAGAAAACGCGTCCACTGCAATCATCTCTGGTCAATGGCTTGTGAAGAACTGGTGCTTAAATAATATGTCCCCAAGGAGGTCAAAATCTACTCCCTGACACCGTGATGGTGAACCTATGGCACGTGTGCCACAGGTGGCATGCAGAACCATTTGTGCGGGCACACAAGCCCCAAGCAAACTTACCTCACTGTGCGTGCGTGTGCCTCCCAGCTGATTTTCAGGGCTTTTTCGGCCTCCCAGAGGCTTGAGGGAAGCCTCTGCAGCCTTTAGAGGCTGAAAAACAGGCCCATTTTGTCACTTCCTGTATTTCCAGAAATACCGGAAGTGACGAAACGGGCCCATTTTTTGGCCTCCAAAGGCTGCAGAGGCTTCATCGAGCCTCTGGGAGGCTGAAAAAGGCCTGAAAATCAGTTGGGAGGCACGTACATGTGCAGTGCAGGTAAGGGGGCGGTGTAGGGGGACAATCATGTGCACATGCGCAGGGGGCATGGGGAGCTGCACGCATTCCCTTTTGGGTGCTGGCATGTTAGTGAGCGTGCGTGAACGCGGGCACAAGTTTCGGCATAGGAGCCCAAAAAGGTTAGCCACCACTGCTTTGACACATCTTTCGTCCAACTTGAGATTTGAAAGTACTAATGTGATATGCCTTGCAGATGTTCATTGTGAGTATGTGGGTGTACACAAAAATTCACCCTCTCATGATGGTTTAAAGGGTTCTATTCAGGTTTGCTGGAACACAACTCAGCTCACCCAAGAACCTGACTACAGGTCGTCCTCAACTTACAACAGTTCGCTTCATGACCGTTTGAAGTTAGAACAATACTGAAAAAAAGTGACTTGTGAGCATTTTTCACATTTATGACCATTGCAGCATCCCCATGGTCACGTGATTTACATTTGGATGCTTGGCAACTGACTCGCATTTATGATGTTTACAGTGTCCCGGGGTCATGATCCCCGTGATCCCCTTTTGTGACCTTCCGACAAGCAAAGTCAATAGGGAAACCAGAGTCACTTATCAACCATGTTACTCACTTAACAACTGCAGGGACTCCCTTAACAAATGTGGCAAGAAAAGTCATAAAATGGGGCAAAACTCACTTAACACATTTCTCTCAGTGTTGGGCTCATTCAAACAGAGGTGGTCTCTCACTTTTTGATCGTGTTTGAAATGCCAGGAGTGGACAGCAGCCTAGAGACTATATCCAAGTAGTTTTGAATCCTCTTGAGAAACAAGCTGAACAAATGCAGAAGCCTAACTTGTATGGGAAAGAGTAATGAACCCTTTGGTCTGAATAATCTGGTGTTTCTCTGACAAACCAGCAACTATTTGACACATCTGATGTAGCACAACATGCAGAATGTCCCCCTGAAGGAACAGAAAATTAGGGTCGGGTAATTTAAGGTAATTAACCATAAAAATGCAGTGAGCACATGTGATGGAATTTGCTATGATGTCAGTGGGCAGGATTTTTTGAATGCCACATTATTGTTTCTATAAGTGCTTAGGCGATGCATTAAATCAAGTCACAATGTTAATCAGTTTAGCTCAGTGTGGTCATTCCACATTAACTGGCAAGAGTACTCTGAGATTAAAGGCAGATATGTCCTACTTTTGTTTTTTTACTAGTGATGTCTTTATCATGTAAAATTACTGAACTATCTGATTTTTCTTGAGCAAGGTGTAGACAGGATGCTAATTTGCTTGCATTCCCTAACAGAATCTCACAGTGACATCAACTGGAATAAACTGTAGAGATACACATCCATGGAGTGGACTGTTATGTTGTTTTCAGAAGACTATTATTAAGGCTTTCCCGAAAGAGATGATTACATTGGAGGCATGTTAATTCTTCCCTCTTCCACATTTAAAAAAAAACCTTTTGAATCAAAAGAAAGTGGCAATAGAAAAGGAGCATGTAACTAAATTGTGACTGGTGAATGTTTGTTATTAATGTTCAAGCAGTCTTCACTAATGGAGGAATTTGTTTACAGGATCTGCTATGTCAGAGATTAATTTAGTAATACAGTATACTGTATCATTATTTAGTAATACAGAATCCCATTATAGTAAAAGTTAATTTGCTATATGAAAATTATTTGAGTCCATTCTTGAAAACTGATTGAAAGATTCTTCTCAAAATAATCAACAGGATGGAATTAATACTGCTTTAAAAAGAAATTATTAATTTGGTTCATGAAAAAAATTGCTAACTGATGAGAGCAGCCTTCCCCAACCAGATGCCCTCTGGATGTGTTGGATTTTAAATTTCATAATTCCCAGTCAGCGTAACCCACAGAAGAAATCTAGCATTATCTGGAAGGCGACAAATTGGGGAAATCCTAGATTAACTTGGTAATTTAAGGTTTTGATGGCCAAAGATAATTCAATCCATTAAGGACATGCAGCTAACATGATCAAGATTCTATTGGCTTGAGTTTTGAAGTGTTTTAGTATTGAATCTTGACAGATTCTTTACAATAAATGTTAGGCAACTGTTAGGCTCCTTAGGCCATCAAAAAGCTTCTACATATCCATTAATTCATCTCTTAGAAAAAGAAGGAACTAGATCCTGCTACAAGGTTCTTGTGTAGAGAAGGTAAGTGTGGAAACTAGAGGAGAAGAGAGGACAATCCATGTTTCCCATGTTTACCTGTGATGGATGAAAATTGTAGGGTTAAATACAGATGGCTATGAAAATAAAGAAAATCAGTTACTTACACAGTTTCATCATTCTTGAATTCCAGCTCTCCATAACAGTCTTCAAAATCCTCTCCACCTCCTTTTGCTGTTCCTTCAACTGTTCTAAAGGGGACTATGACTGTACCCCGTGCACCAGATGTTCTAAGAACTTTCACCTCCATCACCCCAATGCTCTCACTGATATGTATCACACCACACTCGAAGGTGAAGATTCCTGCATGGTCATCATCTAAGATAGTCACAGTAGCCACATAAGGTGAGACCAGTATGGCCTTGGGATATGGCAGTTTGTTGAGTTCAGGAGGTTCCTCTGCATCAATCACCCGTAGATTGCTAAGACGCACAAAAAAGTGCTCATCCTCTTCAAAGATATCGTCATCAATGATCCCTATGGAGAACTCTTTCTGGGTCTCCCCAGACTTCAAAACAACTGTCCCTTCTGTAAATTCGTAGTCAGCCCCAGCATTGGCAGAGCCATCTTCTGTTTTGTAATCCACATATATGGTCTTGGAGACATCACCTCCTTTCCGGACAACAGTTAGGAGGACAGCACCACAGTTCTCAAGACACTGATAGGAGCAAGGATCAAAATAAATTTTGGAGATGAATTCTTCTGGCTCCTCTGGCCGTACTTCATGCAAGCTAGTGCTCCTCTTGGCTTGCTCAGCTGCATGCTTTTTGAGAATATTTCCTGCTCCAGTCATCATCCTGGTAGCTTGAATCCGATAGAATGCTCTGCTTTTTTGCTGATGGGATAAAGCATAGTAGTTGGCCATTTCTACCAGCTGATCTAAGTCTTTTTCTGGGTGCTTTTGTTTCAGGTCCTTGAGGATCTGGATCATCTCTTTGCGAGACTCATCCACCTCTTTCCCCTCCATAGGCACTAGGTTTCCATCTAAAAAATGGGAGTTCATCATCTTACCATCCATTTCAATCCCTTTGGGGTGATCCCCTTCTGTTTCAATGATAATACCCCTGTGTTTGTCAGTACGGTACTTTTTGTGCATATATTTATAGAGAAACATCCTTCTGTCTGCAATCCAAGCCAGGATGACACAAACAGGGAAGAAAAACAGAGTGAGCAAGCCTTCCCATACCTGAACCACACCTGGAGAAAAGACCGCAAGGATCATGTATAGCCAGATATAGGCAAAGATGCTCCAAGCAGCTGTGACAAAGAAAACTCTCAAATGTTTTATCTTCCTTGTCTCCCCATCAGGAATGACATAGACACAGATGGCTATGATGATAAACATATTGAAAGCGGCACTACCAACGATGGTAGAAGGGCCCAGCTCACCGGCAATAAATCCATGACCACATACCTCTATTAATGACAAAAGGATCTCTGGGGCAGAGGAACCAAGAGCCATGAGGGTCAAATTGGAAACAGTTTCATTCCATATTCGGATGGTGGTGGTGATGGCTTCTCCGTTGGGTTTCCTGACAGTAATCTCTTTCTCTTGGGATGTAATGACCTCTATGGAAGCCATGAAACGGTCGGCAATGATAGAAACTCCAAGAAACATATATATGAGTGCCACAAAATAAACAATAACTCTGGCAATTTTGTCCCCCAAGGATGGGTTTTCTGGATACCATATTGGCAAGATAACACCCTCCTTGCACTCTGAAGAACCAGAGCATGTGTTGTTATGTCCTACGTTTGGTGAATCTGTCCCTGTGCCAGCATCTACTTGTAGACCATGTAAAAATAAGACAAAAGTAAAAAGCCCAAACCGGAGGAAGGCTGAGGTGACAGGTTGTAACTTTAACCGCGCCATACACAAGGCTTAACATCCACAGTACAGGAGCAATGGTCTTCTGTTCAGGTTAAGAATCTGAAATAAAGAGATTAAAACCATGAGACTGAAAGAAATAAAATTGACATTGTAATTAATGCAATTAATATTAATATGTTCTGTTATTCACAACTAGTTACACTACTTTATGTATAGTAATCATATTTGGTTAATTTTACATGGATCACATGAGATTGAATTATCTGCTTATCAGTAGAATAGAGGGAAACTGTCTGTACTGAGCACAGAATAATCAACCCTTGTTATTTAGCTTAGACATTAGTATCTTGATATCAGCTGAATTGTTATCAAAGAATCACATCAGCTATTCCAATTTTGCCCCAAAGCAAGATAATATGATACATTGGCACTTGTTTATGATATAACCCTATGAATTTTGGTTAGAATAAAATTCTAGTAATTCCTAGTAAAGAGCTCCAAAATGTTGTGAAGCCAACACTAACTTTAAATGACTGCAACTCTACCACCAAGGAGATTGGACTGAAAGATCCCTTCTAAGACACTCAATCTACTCAGTGCCTGAATAAGAAGTTGAATCTCAGTTTCCCCAATTCAGCCTTCCCTGAATTGGTCCAAATCTAGCATCTTAACCAGATTTTGTCTTGATTTGAATGGTATGAGTGGATGTCCATCTTGCAAGGTAGTCCAGACAAGAAGCACATCCAGAAGTGCTCACTGTATCATTACGGTATATTGCACAATCTTGCAAGTCTAAAAGTAGATATCTCTTCCCTCACCTTCACAGTTCAAGAAACTAGGGATGGTCTCTTTTTAGATGTTTACCTACACCTATTCTTTCTGTGGGTTCAGCTGCCCCCTTATCTGACTATTGCCTACTCTGCCACTCTTCCTTCTGTCTTCCAATTTTATTCTCACATACCAGTGCAGTTGCTCTAACAACATTGAGGGTGTGGTATAGATATTTAAAATGAATGAATGAATGAATGAATGAATGAATGAATGAATGAATACAGAACAGATTCAATATTTCAGAAAATGATAATATTTTCTGTTAAGAACTGGGTGTCCACTTGAAGATCAAACAAGACACAGATCTTATTTGAAGATGTAATACGACGTAGCTAATTGTAACTCAAGTCTACTCTCTTTTCTTTTTTATGGAAAGCATCACCAGAGAAGGGTGGCAAAACATCAGCATAACATATGGCCTCTTATACTGACTACCACACAGTGAAGTTAAGCTGCAGCAATAAAAATAAATCCAATTTGAAATAAACTCTAACATCTATATGTGAAATAGTGTTTAGGTTGAGTATACTAATTTTAATCCCAGAATTGAAAAATGGTTTTCTAAAAAGGTTTTCCTGGGGTGATGTTTCTTGATATGTAATCCAGAGCTGACAAAATTCTTAGTTCACAATTCTGGGAGCTGTAGCTCAATTAATCTAAATTGGGAAAAGCTGCTTTAGAAAATTCTGTAAAATTTAGGACAGCCATACAGTGAAACAACAATTAAACAATTAAAAAAAATGATTATACAAGGTAGTCCTTGACTTATGTTTCTAATTCAGCCCAATATTTATGTTGTTAAGTGAGACATTTGTTAAGTGAGCTTTGCCTCATGTTACGGCCTTTCTTGCCACAATTGTTAAGTGAATCACTGCAGTTGTTAAGTTAGTAACAAGGTTGTTGAGTGAATCTGGCTTCTCCGTCGACTTTGCTTGTCAGAAGGTCGCAAAAGATGATCACATGATCTTGGGACACTGCAACCGTCATAAGTATGAGTCAGTTGCCAAGCATCTGAATTTTGATCACATGACCAAGGAGGTGCTGCAAGGAGGTCATAAAGTGTGAAAATTGGTCATACGTCACTTTTTTCAGTGTCACTGTAACTTCGAATGGTCATTAAATGAACTGTTGTAAGCCATGGGCTACCTGTAGTTGGCCAAGTTGAGGGGAGAAGAAGCAAAAGACAACAGATAAAACGGGAGGATTGAGTCAAAGACTTATTTCTAGCAAGCAGTTGTCTGTGTAATTGTCAGAAGTCAGTGGCATCTAACTAACTCATGTCCAGTGGGCTAAACAAGCTATTTTGACATTTGAGGCCAATTACCTATAAGTTCTTCTTGCTGATAGTCCAAATGCAACATAAATAAATTAAATGTTATGGGTTGCCCTTTCATGGTATTCCAAATGTCTTGTTCTGTTAATAATATGGATGGACAGCTCCATTAACATTGTCAACATGGAGAAATACACCATTTTTAATTTTTGAGCCATCAATACAGATAGCAAAATCAGCAGGGGTTGTGTGGGGTGAGGCAGGAGCCTAAAAAATATTCATGCTGCCTTGAAAACTCCTTCCCTCCTTCTCAGGAATTCAATCTCGCAGTTTGAGAAGCAGATTCAAAACGGCCAAGGCCTATATGGCCAAGGCCTATCTACTGTTTTCTGAAGTTTGAATTTAAACAACCTATATGCAGGCTCAAATAGTCAGACATTCCTATTTGGGGAAATGTTCAGTAGCATTGTTAGAGGAACTTTATGCACATGGAACAAAATAGTTTATATGCCTTATCATAGACTGAAAATACAGGTTATCAAAAATGCAAACAAAATGTAATATAAAGTACATTGCAAGAATCATTTGAATATTATTAGTGTAAACAGGTATATCTAAAAGGGCAGTTTTCTCACTGAGTTGCCTAACTCACTTCTTCCTAAATATCAACGATTATTGATGTTTAATATCAATTAATAATAAAAAATACAAAATCTTCCAGACTATTTAATGAGAACCAAAAGTAGAAGAAAGGAACAAACAATGATACGAATGGAAAGAAAACAGGGCTGACAAAGTGAAGGAAACAAGACATAACTGATTTTGTAATATCTGGATCACAAATTCATGTGAAGCAGTCTTGAGATGGTTGTAGATTGAAATGAAATAACACATCTTCTAGGCCAAGATTTCCCAACTCTTAGTCTGTAGACTGCTGCGGCATGCCAGAAACTGGGCCATGCAAATAAGTGAAGCCCCACTTCGGTCCGCAGAAAAACCTCTCTATGTGGAAACGGTTCCTGGTGCCCAAAAGATTGGGGGCCACTGTTCTAGGCATTACACTGATTGTTTCAGACATGACCGATTCTTTCTGCCTTTCTCTCTGAAAATCCAGTCACTTATTTCCTTTTTAAATTTAGATCTGATTTTCTAGAGATGAGAGATTAAGACTACAAACAAGAATATGGGGCAAAACCTCAAGTCCTCTTTTTAATTAATCAAAGTATATGAGTGTTGCTGGAAGACTCAATGACAAATACTTTTAAGAGAGGTAGAAGACACATTTCTGTGCTCCCACAGTATGCAGTGACTGGAATTTCCAGTGTTACAAGTAAGACTGGAAGACAATGTTCTTTTACAGAAGATAAATATGTGAGTCGAGATCTGGTGAAGTGCAGCTCAAGATTAAGCTTTCAGCCAGCAGCAACTGTGGTGTAATATCACTCATAATCCTTAGGGATAAATAGCCTTCGACAAAGAAAGGGCCAATAATTTTCAAATTCCACAGGGGCATATTGTATGCCAATCTGTAACTGGAAACATATAAACATCAAGAATCCAAGGACACACTAAAGACTAACTGATGGCGCAGATTTCCAAAAACCGGAGACTATCATTAAAATCCTTGATCCTCACAGAAAAGATTAAATATATATGTGTATACCGTAACTATTTTTCTAAACAGTCACAAAATGGAACAGCTTCCACTTGTTTTCAATTACTGTACGAGCATACAATATTGAAATAATCTCACAGATTTTAACAGTATGATAATTCTTCAGCTTCGTATTGACCAACATGGTAATTCTTAAAGAGATTAGGGGAACTGTTAGGGGATGACAGGGCCATCCCAATTTAAAAGTTTATTGTGTAAATATGTTCAAGATCATGCCCAGATTGTATACCACTTCACTTGAATCAGGTGCTATCAGATACCTAGTTACCCTTCTTAAGGACATAAGAAAAGTCCATCTAATCCAGGATGGCCAACCAGATACAATCAGGAAATTCACAATAATAGCCCTATATTCTTTTCCCCAAAAAACACTTATCTAAAGTTGCCTGTAATTAGGGAAATGCTAGTAGCCATCAGAAAAAAAATAGTTGTCAGTAGTCCTGATCTTTTTAATTTCTGTAGCCCCCTTTTAAAATCCTGTAAAATTGTAATCATGTCTGATGGTATTGAGTTCCACAGTTAATCTATGTGCTAAGATGTTTACATTTTAAATTTGCATCATTCCATACATCTTTCAAAACACTCGAGCTTTCCATTTGCTTCCTGTTTAGATATTCCAAATAAAGATATAAACATGTATTATAATATTTGGAAATGTTGCTTGTCTAGAGAAATGCACAATCTTAGCTATATGTTTGACTTATGTGAGCCAACTGCCTGTACATTGTTGGCAGCAATTCCATCTCTTCTCAATATCCCTTTAAATTATGAAACATAACAATCAAGAGGCCAGGAATCCTCAGACTGTTGGGGCCGATGAGTGCATTTACATTTTTGGAACATAAGGTGTTGTATAATGAGAGTTTATTTTGGAACATAATATGGGCACTCTCACAAAAGGGCATCACCGCTTACAAAATATGCCCTCTACCATATTTTCCAACTTGCCCACCACAGAATACTCCTCATTCCTTCACTTGCAATTGGACACCCTACCAAAAAGCACTGAACCTCAGCCACCTATCATGTTCAATGGAGGCTTACAATGTCCATTGAAGCCCAGAGGCTTTTGGGAGGGGGGGGAGGGAAACAAAGAAGACTGGACTTCAAAGTCTTTCACTTTCTCATTTTTACTTATGTAATATTTAAAAAAAACAACAGGAAAAAACAGGAAGGTCAGATTAGTGGCTGCCAAAGGAGACCTCATCGGCAGCTTGTCGATTATAGATGCCATGTTTGGAATCCAAACACTTCGTTAATAAC